TACCGGGCGAGAAAGCCAATCGCTAGCCGCCACGTGGGAATAATTTAGAAACAGCCAATAGTGGGGAACAAATTTACATACGGGTGGCGGGAATTCCTTTGCACCGGGGTTTTCGCTATGCAACTGAGAATTGCACCGTGCAAAGAAAGCTCCATGTGGCGGGAAATAATTCTGCAGTGCCAAAGCGCACACAAAATCATACCCTTTGGGTCATGACACTCTGTAGCAGTACAATTCCTTTGTGAGTTTGGTTTCCAGCTTCACAATGTAGACCTTACCTGAAATCCCCATTATGTGGGGAGCTAAGCACGTAATCTAGGAATATATATACTGTGCTATCTCACCTACTACATGCCCTGAATATAATACATGCCTTGTTTTTGAATGGCAGAAAGAAGGAATAAAAGTTGTGTCTGCATTGAGCAAGGACAGAGCCTATACTTCAGTCTCTTTCCTGAAACCGTAGCTATTGCTGAAGAGTGGTCTCCATGGGTGGACCCGTGTTTTTGGAAAATGTTAAAGAGTCTCCAAGGCTATGAAATAGGAGGAGAGATAAAGGAGCAGCTATCAGGCAGCAACATAGCTCTAAGAAAGGTTAGCTTGATTAGTGCAACGTCTATCTAGACCATTAAAAAGGTGAAACCATCATTAATACCTCTGCAGTACAGACCACTAAGCTATTAAGCCAATTGACCCCCTAACCTGCCTGAATAGTAATGCAATGGCTACTGCGCTGAGGTGCAGGAAACAAAACAAGATGTTTCTATCTGGGTCAGAAAATCAGCTTCCCCACTTAATATACAGCCCAATTTGGGGGGGGAGTGCTGACTTTTGTTGTTTTTTTTTGGTGGTGGGGAGTGCATGTTGTATGCGAGACAAGATGATAAGTCACGTGAGGATATGTATGACCTGGTAGTGTGTGGCAGACCTCTAAAGGATATGTGAGAAGAATGAACTGGAAAACAAAAGAAGGGAAATAGGAAATATAAATGGAGGAAAAGGGAAAAAAAGATTAAGGACCTCTGTATAATATTATATATTAATAGGTCATTAGGGTACAGTGTAACTGTAGTGACTGAAAGTGCGACTCTTCCTTATGAGAGAATGATAAGAGGTTCACAGCAGTATAACAAACCTAGAAAGGGCAAGCAGACAATCCAAAATCTTTTGGCAACCAGTCATATAAACTAAGTTTGGCTTTTTTGAACGACCTAGTAGTTTTTCGGTTAGGATAAGCAGACACATCTTATCATGGACTTGTCCTACTTTTCTTTTTACACAATTTGTACATTTGCAGGAAAAGGTTGTTTACAATATTTAGGGAGATCTCTGAGTCTGTAGTTAGCACTGCAATAGTCAAGGGGAAAAAGGAATGAATTGGTGATAGAATTGAGAGCTGATCTCTCCATGCTTTATCTTCTCACCCCTCTTTCCTTCCTGTTCCAAACCAAGGAAGCTCACAAAGGCTTCTGTAGGGTCAGGAAAAGGGGTGTATATGTGTGCATAATGATGCCTCTTTAACAATATTTCTGCAGGTGTTTCAATCTTCTCCCCTCCTTGAGAGTCAGCAGCTTACTTCAGAATATCCTTGAGGCAGCCCTAGGAGATGTTTCCATAAGCAGCTTGTGTTCCTGGTGCCTGTAATTCTTGTATATCAAATTAATTTATCTTTTTTTACAATAATTTCTCTCAAGTTTAACAGTTCCCATTGTTTGGTCCTTTGTCTGGTGTTTGGAGTACTATAGTTCATTGAACATATTATAGAGGGGGATACTTTGATTGCACGATGTGCTTATCAGCCTTAGTAATAACTGTGACAACACTGCTTCTGTCCTAATCACAGAGCTGATGTTACATCTTTGATGTTTCTGTGCCTTTTATTTAGCTAGTCATATGAAAGACAAGAAACCCGCTTTTTCATGTGTTGCTCCAAATTAGATTGAAATTAGCTTTCAGTGTAGCTGACTGTTTAACTTGATTGCAATCCTCTTACACAACATTAAAGTAACAGAATTAAGAACAAAGTATGTGACCCACTGCCGTACTGCTTCACATTTTCACTGTCTTCTGTGCTCACTCACCTTTATATTTCAGATATTTTTAGACCTGGCTAATGGTTCCTTTAACAAAACTCTCTATATATATTTTCTTCTGAGCCTGATTTTTATAGGCAGAGCACCACAATTTTGATAGTCATAAGGGCATGTAAGTGCAAGAAATTCTCCATCTCCATTTCTTTTTAAAATAAATAATAACAAAGGGTCAAGGTGATGATTAACAGTCTCATTCAGTGCCATCAGAAGTCAATGTAAAGACTTCCATTATCCTCCATGGCATCAAATCAGGCCCTAAAACAAAAAGGATGTGTGCCATGTGCTTGCTCTGACATTTCTTTTTAGAACTTGGCCTGATTTGACTGTTTTAAGCCCAGTTATGCTAAATGGATACAGTTGTCTGCCTCTGTTCATGGGTTTCATTCTTCAGTATTCTGAGGAGAATAAAAATAGTGTGAACTGGCATTTTCTCCTGCATTAAGTGAAGGCTTGTTAATATTTACTTTGAATGGCTGTTTGCTTAATGCAGTTAATGTGGAACACATTCTAACTTGTCCTAAGAATGACATTTCCAAGTGCTGAGTAAACGGCTCTGGAATTACAAAATTAGCTGTTCAAAATTTAGCCAGAGGGATGATGCCACTTTCTATAAAATTATGGTGAATGTATTCCAAATATCAAATAATCTTCATTTTCTTGTTTGAGTGTAACAACACCAACTGCAAACAGAACTTTTAAAAGAGTTTGTTCCTCTGTTTTAAGAGGGGCAAAATGTTGTCCTGTGAAATCATTTTTACCAGGAATCATTTTCCCAAATTACCTCTTCAAACTGTTTACACCAAGGAGATACAATACTTGTCACAAAAAAACAAACCTCAAAATGATCACTGAACAGATGTACCTGTGTGCATTCGTTCACACACACGCGTGCACACACACACACACATGCACTAGCTAAATTTTCTTTTGTGTTTTTTTTTCTGTGTTTATTTTATAGCACTTCTATTTATAGGCTAACACTTTACATTACACCTATTCCCTGTTTCTATGTGGTTTCTATGCCTATAGAAGCTGTTTTCTCTGCCAGCAACCCCTGCCATTGGGATAATTTAATTTCTCCATTTTCTCTGGGAGGACAAGGAGCAACTCTGCAGCTTGTGTAGGTATTGTGATGAAATTTGGAGAATGTTCGGACATTTTGGCTTTCTCAAAGATGTCATTGTTGTCATTTTCTGTTTCTCTGAGCTGCTATTTTCAGTTGGTAAAACAGACCTGCTTAGAATAATGAAGGTCATTCTTACAGAATACACTGTATGGGAAAAATAAATGCATACATGGAGAGCTGTCACAATTTCCTTTAAGTACAGCATGATGGTGTTAGTGATGCTGCAGTGTGATTGCACATTATATTATCAGTTTCCAGAATGTTAGCTATTTTTTCTTTTACCTTTCATAATAAGCATGTATTTCCTATTGAAAATATGTTATCAGGTTTTATTGCATTTTTCTGAGTACAGTATAGGTCCAAAATATCAGCATAGGCATGTGGGGAAGAGGGTAGTTCACTCTTTAATTAGTAAATTACTTTTAACGTTTAAGCAGAGAGGAGTATAATTGAGTCAATTGTAGCTGCTTTTTTTATTCCTCTCAAATATTTAGATTATCTGTTCATATGGAAGAAGATAAAACAGACTCCACATAAACTGCTTATATTAAACTATGTAATAAAGGGGGCAGATGCTTCTCATTCTTTTCTCCTTGAAGCCTTTTAGATGGAAATATTGCAGAAATGAATCCATTGATACCCTTTCAGCAGATGCTATCTTCAAATGTGTTTAATACTTATTCTCTTCCTTTTCTCACTACAGCACAGAAAGCAATAACCCTCTCTGAGGCGGACTATCAAGGTGAAATACTGTGCAGCATCTAACTTCAACAGTGGAGGCACAGCGTTAAATCAGAAGCAGGGAATAACTTTCTATAGGTAAGCATGAAAATCCTTGGCATCTGTACATTGTAAAATGTGCTACAGATGCTGGGAAAAACTTGGCTTCACAAGGGCCAGGATTTCACCAATTAAGTATTTCAAATAAGTAAACCTGCTCGTAGGCCTAGCATTTCGAGTGGCATTGGAATGCCAGTAACTATCCCATGGCAAGCCATTTCTTCTAGTTGATGAATTGGAAGCAGCACTTCCTGTCAGGCAGTGATAAGAAGAACTGATTGAGGAGTGCCATTTCAGCATACAAAAAAGCAACTGCACAGCTAGAGCAAGCAGTGGAATATGTAGGCCTGATTTTCAATGCAAAATCCTAATTAAAAAGCATCCAGTAGGTGAAATACAAAATGTTATTTAATTTACAGCAAAAATATATGCAACATGGCATTAATAAGGAAAGAGGTTTGAAGGAAAAAAGAAAAAGATATGAGTGGTTGTGAGAGAGAAATGAGGATTGCACATTTTAATCCAGATTCATATGTATGTGGAGTTACTTTTAGTCACTGTATTTCTTATTACCCACTCTGATGAATTTACTTTCCCAATACCACATCTCATATCCCTATTTTTCAGATTACTTCAGAAAATGAAGTAGGGCCAAAAGGGAGGACAAGAAGTGGTCTCTAATTTTGACTGTCTTTTGACCCAATATTAAGTGTACTAGCAGTGGCTGTTATAAGAAGTGCAGATAGTCTACATCTCTGGCTATCAAGTCAAAAGCGTGTAAACCAGAGCACTCCAAATTAGAAGCTACTTCTGACTCTTTGGGTGTAAGTGATTTACTTGTTATAAAGTTAATCTAATAAAGCAATCTGGGCTGCTGACTCAGACCTCTTTTCTATGCACAAATTCTAGTGGTAAACCAGGCTACCTCGTTTCTGGTGATGCATCCTGCGCCTCAAATTATTTGCATTTGGTATCCTCTTATTAATTTAATGGTTTAAAGCATGGCCTTCAAAATCTTTTATTTAAATTGTAATAACGTTTATACCCTTAATCTCTGAGAGACAAAGCAGCCATCATGCAGTATATTGGTTTATTCTTTCAAAAATACTTGCACCTAATACTATTTGCCAGTACCTTGGTTAGGTGTACACAGCCTGGGAAGAAAACACCACCTGTCTCCTTTGTCTGGGTCTCCAAATCCCTATCCATCATGCATCCTCTTTCATTTCCTTTTAAACCCTTGTTAAAATCCATTGCATCCATGAAATAATCCTGCTCTCTGCAAGTCCATTTATAGTATCTGATGAAGCAGACTGTTGCCTACAAAAGCGTGTGCATTTCTGAACAAGTTAGTCTTGATGGTGCCACCCTGCTCTGCCTTCTTGCCAATTGTGCTTTAGCACATTTTTGTTTTTGTATCATTGTGTATGTTGCCATAGTCAGAAGTCAGCCTGTAACCTCCTCGTATCTGACACCTAGTCCTTGCATTTTTTTAGAACACCATCTAAACTAACATTACTTATTATTATTATTGTTCCTCTGGAGTCTTTAAACTATTATGCCATTTTAAAAGCATAATCAATTCCCTGTATATGGAATCAGCATGTGTTTTGGGAACTGAGCGGCAGGAAATTAAACAAAGCTGGAATTGCAAATGTGACATGCATATCCCAGAAACTGAGAGCTGGAAATAAGCCTATTAGGTCATTTAGGAAATTCTGTGGAGATAATGGGCAGTTGTTTTCTGCAACATACTCTTCACTGCTTTGTCCAGTCCATTTAAAGTGACTTAAGTAATGATAGTTTTCATTTACAAGGCAGTAAATCCATATGACCAATGCCTGTGTGCACATGTGTTGTGAGCACTTTTTCATGACATGTCTAATTTAGTTCTTCCCCTTTTACTTTTTATCAGCCTTGGTATTTTAATGTGGAGATCTGTGCTTCTTCCCTAGTGCCTACTCCTTTCAAACGCAGGAGATGATCTTTTTAATTTTTTGTTATTTCACTGAGCTTCCACCATCACTAATAAGTAACAAAACCATGCAATCTATTATACCCATTTAGAGACGGAAAAATGGAAGCACAAAGAAATTAAATTACTTGCCCATGGCCTCAAATAAGGTCAATGAGAGAACTGAGAATAGAATACAAGTTTCTTGGCTCCTAATATGTGCACTGTCTACTCAACTGAGCTGTTTCTATCCCTGGTATAAGCACATTTGTAACTTTAAACTTGCAATTTCCCCCACTGACTTCGGTGACATGTACTGGGACGTCACCCCTGTATACAGGACAGTTACTAAACAAAACCCAGCTGCCACTCTTTGTCATTTATGATTTAAGTGTCCCAAGGATTAACTTCCCCCCTCCCTTCCCCCCCTCCCCCCCAAAAGCCAAAAACCTAGTGAGTCCCAGCAATACATCAAATGACTGAAACTCTGGATTCCATCCAAAGGGGACAGCATCTCAAAGTGCTTCAAATAAATAATAGAAATAACGTTTTAAAGGAAGGGAGTTGTTCTTCCATATTTTCCTTTCCTTCCTATTTTTCAAGTATAAAGTATGACATTACATATATGATTACATTAAAATACCTGATTCATTTTCAACTGAAGAACATGATAACCACCCTCAGGTGGCAGGTTTTTGGAGTGACATTTCACACACAAGAGCACCAACTGTTACTAATATGCTAATAAACCTTTGTTAGTTGGTCTAAAAATAGCCTTTTAGTAAGATCTTGGATGGATTTTTTGAGATGAGATGTCAGAGGCAATGTATGCATCTCAAAGCCTAAAATATTCATTATAGAATTGTAATAACTAATCACTTTTTAGAATGAAAGCAAATTATTTTTCCTTGTGTCTTTGGTATCTTGTGCCCGAGTAATTCAAGCTCTTTCGATTTATTTCTCTTAAATTAGATTCTGGAATGATTAGACTTTTCCACAGTCTAGTTACACCTCAGTAGAGAGAGCAGAGATTGCTTTCCTTCCTGTCATGCCTGTGTGAACCAAAACCCTCCCCATCCACTTCTATGTAGATCATAGTTCAATGTTTCTGTGACTGCTTCTACTGTCAGCTCCACTCTCCTTTTGAACAGGGCATCATCCGATGCCTATAGAAGCAGCTGCAAAGAAGGTGGAGTTCAACACCTCATAACAACATCTGCAGAATATCTTTGCTGATGAAAATCCAATTGGCAACAAACTTAGTTGTCTGAGAGCTGCAATTTCCTCTCACTATTCTTGTCCTTTGTATTGTACAAAATCGATAATACTCTACAGAGATCAGCTAAGAACACCAAAAGTGGTGGCATATTTCTGAAGAGTCTTCCTCTGGAGGCAGATCTCAGCGAGCAGTCTGTGCTCGTGGTAAACACCAGAAACTCCCCTTGATGCTGGAACTGTAGAGCTGTCACTTGGTCCTTCCCTTCTGTTTCTCATGTTACTAATTTTATGTCATTTACAGAGAACAAGTAAGGTTTTCTTTCTGTGTTTTAAAAATAATCTGTGTAATGCGGGGTTTTACTAGTCTTGGGGGAATGGTTACCATTTGATAAAATCACTGGAGAACTGAAATACAATGATGCAGAGATGCAATGCTACTGTAAAGGGTGACCATCTAAGGTTTACAACAAGGCATCAGGTATCTGCCAAAGAGTGTTTAAGACACGGCGTGTAATCCTGCTCCACTGAAGTCAAAGGTCAATTTGCTATTGACTTCCATAGGATCAGGATTTCACTGATAGTTTAGGACTGTTGAATTGAATTTTGAGCAGAATTAAATATCAGGAAACCTCTCTCTCTCTCTCTTTCAATAGCTTGTCTAATGTGCAACAAATTAATGTTCTTCACATTATACAATGAAGCATCTGCATCATGTGATCATGCATGAGTGCATATGAACTGGTACAAAAGAAAGTGTTGGGGGAGAGAATTGCAGAGTTTGTGAAGGACATTTCTCACTGCTGCTACAAGCAAAAGGAGGGAGAAACTAAACACAAATGGAGAATATTATGCAGCCTCTCATTTCCGTTTTGGAGCAGACTATCATCCACTACATCCTATCACCAAGATAAGAGAATTAAGGTGCTCTGATGGTGTTTTTTGTGATAGAAAATAGCTAACAAGACTTTAAGAGAAAACTTCAGAAATACTGAAGTGTTATTAAGCAGCTGTCCTCCTGAGAGAGATACCAGTATGGGGTTTGTAACATGCAGGACAGAATAGTGGCAAGCATCTGCACTACAGTTGATTATGAGTTCTTCTGTATGATTTTAGGACTTTTTTCTTTAATATTCCATTTTTGGCATTTATATGGTATTTTGCTGATGCCAAGCCTGGTCATAAAGCCTTTATATAATCAAAGCTCTCTTGAAGAATATGGAAGTCAATGGTGTCACAACCCAAAGTTGTGATTTTTTGTTTGTGTGTGCTTCGGCACTGCTAAATTATTTTCCCGCTAAATTGCAGCTTCTTTGCACGGTGGAGTTTTCTGCTGCAGAGGAGAACCTGGTGCAACGGAGTATTCCCACCAAATTTGAAGCTTTCTTTGCATGGTGCATTTCTTTTGCATCCAGGAAATGCACGGTGCAAAGGAGTTCCCGCCATTTGTATGAAGATTCGTGCCACATTATTGGCCGATTCTAATACATGCACACGTGGTGGCTAGCGATTGGCTTGCTAGCTGTATAAAGAGCTTGGGTGGTTTCCGCCCAAGTTGGAGGACTCCACGAACACCAGGAGGAGGCGACTTCACACTGTGTGAAGATCTCTAAGTGCTGCGGATCCTTACAGACCCAACGCTTTTCTTAAAAGGCAATAGAGGCCTGATAACTGAACCCGTGGAGCTTCAACAACTCCGGGGAAAAGAACGAACAGCCTCTAGTCTCTCCCCGTCGCCAATAAATTCCTAGACGTATCCCTTCCTGTA